ATCACTTTCTTGCAATCCATTTAGAAAACAAATCTATTATAACCAAACAGAATTGAAAGGATAAATAGGTTTAGGGAAAGCACCTTTTTTAGGTCTTAAATTTAGCACATATTAGACATGCTTTACAAAAGTTTTTTGCATAGAATATAAATCCATATGCTATATAATGATGCTCAATGCTCAATCAATCCTACAATCCCCCCGTTTGAGACATGAGTAAAATCATGACTCAATATAGCAGCTCATTCAAAGAATTTTATTTGGAAGGATTGGTTTATGTTCTGGTCACATATAGGTGCCATCATGGATTTTAAGATAGTTTGGCTGATTAACATGTTTGTTTCGTTGAATGTCATCCCCATTTCACATGTTTTTAATAAGAAATGTTATGTTTAATACAATGTTACGATGAAATTAGGACAGCAACTAACAATTATTTCGTAAATCGATCAGTCTCGTTAATTCTTTCGATTAATTGGTTAGCCAAAAGTTCTGTAAAGAAGATTACTAATGACATTAAACCAGGTGAAACCAAAACATCTCCTCCTGAAGAGCTCCGGACGGAAAGTATTGACAGACAAAAACATTTTATAATCGTATTTGCAAAAATGTTTATAAATTTATTTTACAGTTTTGGTATGATTACCGATCCAAGTGGGTTACTCTGTCGGGGAAAGCCAGATTTTACATGTATATTATGTTTCAGAGTCTCTATACTCCATTTAATGATGAATCACTAAATTTGTTTACGAATATGCAAATAAACAATGAATATGATTCATGTTTTCAGCCACAGATAAAATACATGAGATGGGCAACACAGAGTAACTACAGCCCAGATGTTCAACTTTCATAGTGAAGTTATTATTTTTAATGAAGCTTAGTAGGTAAAAATATAAGAGTGGGGTTTAACTCTGCACGATTCTATATATTCAGAAGAAAGTACTGTATTTACCGTCTGTCTCAGTTGTTCAAATAAAATCATTTACAAAGTGGAAAACAGTCCTAATTCCACATTCATCAGAGCCGGTGATACTCCAACATTGATAAACAGCATCTAGTTAGTGTAGTGCTTAAAAATGTTTATTAATGTAGCAAAATGCTCCTTTTCTCTTTAAACAATGAATTCCTCTCATCAGTACTGATGCTCATATCAAGCATAAAAAAGAAAGGCATGCATAATGCATAGTACCAATGACACCAGACCAATAGTGTCCCTACCAGGGATGGGATGCCCAGCCTCTGTCTAAGCAAAGCATAGAGCATCCCTGCCTAAGAGGTTAACTGGACATTCAGGTAAAGTCAGTACAGACAGCCGGCAGGAGAGTCCTTCAGGGTCTCTCAACCACACAAGCTGGATCTCCTGCACAGCCTTTAAATGACCTTGAGCTAATCGGACTATGACAGTCTCAGGTCCTTGGCCAGCACCTGGAATTTGTTGTTTAACAGTTGTTCTGCATGCACCACTGTCACACAGGAAACTGTTGGGGTGCCATTCACATGTATAGTTAATACAACTAATCCTTATTTGTGCATATTAATTATGTTTTTGTTTTAAATGCTTTTGCTAAAATGCCATCAGAACGCTGATAAATAGAGAGGAAAAAGGAACAAGAACAGAGGGACAAAACCTAGAACAAATAATGAATGTCTATTCTATTAACATTGCTCTATCTGTAGAATGCGACTGTTTTATAGGTTTTCTTGTCAGGGGGGGGGGGGGCCCTGCCCATCCATGCCCAGGGCCCCAAATTTCCTAAATCCGCCCCTGCCTATAGACCATCATGACAGGAAAAAATGGATTTTCAGCTGGCCCCTGACCCGCCAAAGGATTTGGCAGCTCAATTAAAGGAAACACTCAATTTCAGGTTTGGGTTCAGGGGCTGGCTGTGGGGAGATTAAGCCTCCCCCCATATCTTTTGACCAAGCCCCCACAGGTCCCCCAGAATGGGTAACCCTTGTGGAGGTGCTGGGCATAGGAGAATAAGCCGGTGGATTTTCAACTTTAGGAGCTGGCAAGACTGGGGCTGAAGCAGAAGCAGCAGCAGCACCAAGTTCATTTGGGTCTTGCTGTAAAGCTGCTTGTGCTTGCTGTAATAATGCTGAATATGGACCTACAGGTAAATCATCTTTACGATGGGTATATGCAAGGGTATGGGTTCTTTTATTGTGGTTCTGCAGGCTCCTGTATCACACAAAATTTAACAGGAGTGCCCTGGACCATCAGAACTTTTTCTGGTCTATAACATTTCTTTAAAAAAAAATCTTCTAGGTTTAAGACATCCATATTTTCACCCTCTATCTCTCTAATAGAAAATGGTTGCTCATCTAGTCATGCTGAGCTTCCTGCTTTTGTGGTTTACTTTGACAGTGTCTAGCTATGTGGCCTTTTTTTCCACATGACCAACACGCTCTGGAATTATCAGTTGAGCGTGATCCAAAACCTCTTCCCCTTACACGGCCTCGGCCCCTACCTCTGGACTGCTGATAAAACACAGTGGATTCTTTATTGTGATTCTTTTTACTTTTTATGACTTTCTCTGCATGCAGGGCGTGATTTATATACTTTTGGAGTGTTGCACCACTCATCTCTATGTGGTGACGATTTACCCATTCTTGAATTCCACATTCTTCCACATCCTTCTTTGGAGAGGGAATTCCTTCTACTGCTTTTCTAACATCTTCCTGTGTCCAGGTTCTGTATACCATTACTGTGGCTGGTTGTTGGGCATTCCCCTCAACCTGGCCTGCTAAGGGGTTTGGTAATTCTATGAAAGGAAGCGTGAGGACTGCTCCTTCACCTTCCAGGTTCACAGGCATCACTCGGGGTGCCCGTGGAGACAGAATGTCATTAAATGTTGTCGCTAAAGTTTTTGACCAATCTCCTACAGAACCTTTGGACCTAGTAATATATCCCTGGGAGGTATCAGCTTGTGGAGAAGCTACTTGAGGAGGGGCTATTTTCAATGGTGCTTCTACATGTTGTGGGGGAGTATATGGTGGAGGATCCCCCGTGGGTGAGAGAGCTGAGGGATCGGCTGCAGCGGCAGCACCTCCCATTGATGGGAGATTATGTATTTGATGTATCAGGTTAGAATAGGGCCCTGCGTACTCATCATCCTCCTTTCTATGAAACATAACTGATCTTTCCTTTTCCTTTTTTCTTTCTTCACTTTCCCTTTCTTCCTCTTCTTTCTCTTTTCTTTGTCTCTCCCCCCTGTCTCTCTTAGCTCTACGCTCTCCCTGTTCTCTCTGTTCTGCCAATTTCATCCAGACCATGGTTTGCATGTAACCTTCTTTTGCCATCAAAGTGTCTTTATTTTTGCTCTTTGTTTTTATTTTTTGTTGCAAATCTTTTATGTTTGTGGTGCTCAATTTGCCTATTAAAACCGTAGTTTTTTATCCAGTAATTTTCGACTGCTTTCCAATCTTTGCACTGGAGTTTCTCTAATAACTTCTGTTTTTCTTTACTTTGCCCTTTTCCCATTTTGAACTAAATTTGGGCCCAGTGGGTTTTTAACACCTGTCGTGTTCTAAACACTGGGGCTTCAGACAAGATGGTGATCAACTACTTTTGTGGTAAAACTCACTTCAACCTTTACAGGTGGAGTTTTCTTGTCTACAAACATCCACAAAAGCTCACCATTTAACCCTTGTCTTTTGGTATGAAATACAGATATCTAGTGATATCTATATTTCCTTTCACACACACACTCTCACTCACACACACACACTGCGCAGTTAACTTTTACTTTATTTTAAACACAGAGGACGCCGCCATCCTACGCAGAATTTAACTAGTTTACAACTCGGGGAACCTGCCCTTACAAACTAGGGGAGCCTGCCCTCCCGCGGACTTTAACTGTTTTAAAATTTCTGTTTTACCTGATAGAGTCTAGAATTGTCAGGGTTTTAGTACAAAAGGAGAATCTCGTGACCCCACGCTGAGAGGACTTCAAAAGGGGAATCTCGTGACCCCACGCTGAGAGGACTTCAAAAGGGGAATCTCGTGACCCCACGCCCTTCACTTCTATCTTCTTTTTTTTTTTTTTTATATTATTATATTTTTATAAATTTTTTATATTTTTATATATTTTTCTTCCAATAACTCACTCACTCCTTATTAAAAGAAAAACTACTCACAATTCTCTGCGTCCTCGAAATGCTTCAACCGTCGGACCCCAGCCTGTAAGGGAGAGACCAGTCCCGTAAAGGGTCTCTTTGCTGCGGCCGCAGGCTTATCTGGGTCTCACTTACCTGCTGGGGGTCGTCGGGTATCTTGCAATCCAGCTCGAAGGACCAATTAATGTTAGGTTTAAACACCAAACATTTTATGCAGTAACCTGTACAAAGAATGACACAGAGAATTTTAGTATGATTCACTTGCAAGGAGAGTGATCAGAGACTGTTCAGTTCCAATTCTCCAAACCACTCTGAAAAAGTCTCCGCTCTACCAAGCTTTTATTAAGGAAACGCCCTGGCTACAATGTGGTTCCGACTGCTAAGGGGAGGGGGAAGGGTGAAGCCAGTCGGAACCAGAAGGGAGGGGTGAAACCCAATCGGTACCAGAAGTTCTGCATCACATCATACAATATCATGAGATAAGAGCTTTCACTCCTTTCTCCGGTGTTAGTGAGTGCATTTCCCCGTGTTTTCTCCTTGCTGACCTTGAGCAGCCAGCACTGCATCTGCACACACTAATAACAAGCATTAGAAAGACAGCAAGTGAAACATTTCAACACTTTGTGTAATACAAGTATACAGGAATATGCAAATGTGTAAATATGAATGTATAAGGATAATAATATGATCTCAGTGTGTAAGCATAATAATATGATTAAAGTAATATGATTAAAAGTAGAATAACTTGTACAATTAATCCAACAATGTGATAGCAGGTAATGAGTTGCAAAATGCCAGGATTAGATGTGAGATTACAGCTGAGTTCTGTTGTTTTAAGCTGCAACTTTACTGAAGATATGTTTGTATTTACTCGACAGGAAGAAGACTGCGAGAAGGCTTACTTCAAGATGGACAACGTGCTGATTGATGACCGGAGGATCCACGTAGACTTCAGCCAGTCTGTTGCAAAGATCAAATGGAAAGGGAAAGGTAACTTTGAACATTTTCCCCTTATGTTATAGAAGTGACACAGTAGCATCAGAGTTATTATTTGGTTATTATTTCATTAAAGTGATATCTCACTATTTTTTGTTTTGTAGGTTTGCCTCCATTTAGCCTGAATCCAGATTAGCTGGCCCCATGCTAAAGCTAACGGCTGGTTTGAAAAGTGCTGACCCCAAAGTGAACCTGTATGGTCCTAAAATGACTCCAGTCTTAAAAAAAAACGTCAAACCAAACTCTGAGAATGTTCTTCTAAGAACGTTAAGAACCATCATCAGCTTTGCTTTAGGTCCTTATGTAGACACAGCTCCATGATTGTTTACACAGGAAGCAGGTAGGAGTTGTGCACCTCAGTTAGTCTTCCTGTTTGAACCACATCCTGAAGTAAGGACATGTAAAGCATTTCTTTTTTAACAAATCTGTGTTAAAAGTTCATAAAAAGTAAAAAAAAATATATAAAATAAAAGATGGTTCTCTGTTCAGACCAGCCTTTAGCTTTAACCTCCTGTAGAAACTAATGTGTACTCAGAGAACAATGAAAATCTGCTGCAGACGCAATCTTAACAGCTTTAAAGGTTTTAACATTAACTCATGTCTAAAAGTGTGAACTCCCCCGTTAAATGAACGTTCCTTTTATCATTCTTTCTGTTTTAGGAGGAAAATACACCAAAGATGACTTCAAGGCCTACGAGAAAGACTTGGAGAACCGCTCCAAACTGGCTCTCAAAGATCAAGTGAAGCCTAAACAAGAGTATCCTCCCCTGTTAGGGCACCAGCTCATTCGTTTTGGTTTTTTCTAATGTTTCTGAGATTTCCATAACCTTTTGAAAAAGCTCCAAGTATGACCTGCTCATTGAGGACGAGGAGGAGACAACGAGCCATCGGCCACCTCAGAAGAAGCACAAGAAGCACCATCATCATTCAGACGATGAAGACAGCAGGAAGTCTAAAAAGCACAAGGTAACTGAAAACCTCTGGGGTTGTTACTCCCCCTGTTTTCCAGCTTTTCCTGTTGTTGGGTTGCTGCCAGGAGTGTGCACCAATTGAAATTTGATCTACATGCTTGGAGGTTTAGGAATGCACACAAACACTTTTGTTTGTTTAATCAAATGCTCCCTGCATGGTAACACCTTCAGATAACTAACTGTAAATGCTTATGTTGGTGGACAGGAACCTGAATCTTTTCTGAGCAGAGCCTCTCTGACTTAGTCATCATATGATATTGATGAGCTTTCTTTGCAGAGGGCCTTCTGGCTTATCCTAAGGTAGCCATTTCAGATATGTTTCACAAAGAGATCCGTCACAATAACAGATTTTGCTGTTAATTTGACATTACCCCTGAAGTTACTGCCATAAAGGATAATTGTGGATGTTGATTGTCTAAAACTAATGTAGTAATGGTATAATAATGAAGGTACATGTATCAAAGGTGTATTCCCACTAAACGCTAACAAGCAAATGGTTAGATTTAATCTCTATGCAAAGATTAAAATATAAGCAAATTAACGCTTGGCGATGCAAACAAAACATTTCAATCAATGTGAATCGGCCAATGGAGCGATTCAAAAATGGCTAAAGTGTGGTGGACACGCAAAGAGAGTTACCTAAACTAGCAATAGTGTGGGGGCTGTGTGAATAAGGCTAGCAAAACTGCTAATAGAGCAGTGGATATGCGTATAGAGTTAGCAACACCAGCAATAGCATTGTTGAACACACAAATGGGCCCACCAGAACTAGCAATAGGATTATGGGTGAGCAAGTAAAGCAAGCAAACCTACTAATAGAGCAGTGGATGTGAGAATAGGGTTATCAAAACTGCTAATAGAGGAGTGGATGTGAGAATAGAGTTATCAAAACTGCTAATAGAGCAGTGGATGTGAGAATAGAGTTAGCAAAACTGCTAATAGAGGAGTGAATGTGAGAATAGGGTTAGCAAAACTGCTAATAGAGCAGTGGATGTGAGAATAGAGTTATCAAAACTGCTAATAGAGGAGTGGATGTGAGAATAGAGTTATCAAAACTGCTAATAGAGCAGTGGATGTGAGAATAGAGTTAGCAAAACTGCTAATAGAGGAGTGAATGTGAGAATAGGGTTAGCAAAACTGCTAATAGAGCAGTGGATGTGAGAATAGAGTTATCAAAACTGCTAATAGAGAAGTGGATGTGAGAATAGAGTTAGCAAAACTGCTTATAGAGCAGTGGATGTGAGAATAGGGTTAGCAAAACTGCTAATAGAGCAGTGGATGTGAGAATAGAGTTAGCAAAACTGCTAATAGAGAAGTGGATGTGAGAATAGAGTTAGCAAAACTGCTAATAGAGGAGTGGATGTGAGAATAGAGTTAGCCAAACTGCTAATAGAGCAGTGGATGTGAGAATAGAGTTAGCAGAACTGATAATAGAGCAGTGGATGTGAGATTAGGGTTATCAAAACTGCTAATAGAGCAGCGGATGTGAGAATAGAGTTAGCATAACTGCTAATAGAGCAGTGGATGATTATATAGAGTTAGAAAAACTGCTAATAGAGCAGTGGATGTGAGAATAGAGTTAGCCAAACTGCTAATAGAGCAGTGGATGTGAGAATAGAGTTAGCCAAACTGCTAATAGAGCAGTGGATGTGAGAATAGAGTTAGCAAAACTGCTAATAGAGCAGTGGATGTGAGAATAGAGTTAGCCAAACTGCTAATAGAGCAGTGGATGTGAGAATAGAGTTAGCAGAACTGATAATAGAGCAGTGGATGTGAGATTAGGGTTATCAAAACTGCTAATAGAGCAGTGGATGTGAGAATAGAGTTAGCAAAACTGCTAATAGAGCAGTGGATGTGAGATTAGGGTTAGCAAAACTGCTAATAGAGCAGTGGATGTGAGAATAGAGTTAGCAAAACTGCTAATAGAGAAGTGGATGTGAAAATAGAGTTAGCAAAACTGCTAATAGAGGAGTGAATGTGAGAATAGGGTTAGCAAAACTGCTAATAGAGCAGTGGATGTGAGATTAGGGTTAGCAAAACTGCTAATAGAGCAGTGGATGTGAGAATAGAGTTAGCAAAACTGCTAATAGAGAAGTGGATGTGAGAATAGAGATAGCAAAACTGCTAATAGAGGAGTGAATGTGAGAATAGGGCTAGCAAAACTGCTAATAGAGCAGCGGATGTGAGAATAGAGTTAGCATAACTGCTAATAGAGCAGTGGATGATTATATAGAGTTAGAAAAACTGCTAATAGAGCAGTGGATGTGAGAATAGAGTTAGCCAAACGGCTAATAGAGCAGTGGATGTGAAAATAGAGTTAGCCAAACTGCTAATAGAGCAGTGGATGTGAGAATAGAGTTAGCAAAACTTCTAATAGAGAAGTGGATGTGAGAATAGAGTTATCAAAACTGCTAATAGAGCAGTGGATGTGAGAATAGAGTTAGCAAAACTGCTAATAGAGGAGTGAATGTGAGAATAGGGTTAGCAAAACTGCTAATAGAGCAGTGGATGTGAGAATAGAGTTATCAAAACTGCTAATAGAGGAGTGGATGTGAGAATAGAGTTATCAAAACTGCTAATAGAGCAGTGGATGTGAGAATAGAGTTAGCAAAACTGCTAATAGAGGAGTGAATGTGAGAATAGGGTTAGCAAAACTGCTAATAGAGCAGTGGATGTGAGAATAGAGTTATCAAAACTGCTAATAGAGAAGTGGATGTGAGAATAGAGTTAGCAAAACTGCTTATAGAGCAGTGGATGTGAGAATAGGGTTAGCAAAACTGCTAATAGAGCAGTGGATGTGAGAATAGAGTTAGCAAAACTGCTAATAGAGAAGTGGATGTGAGAATAGAGTTAGCAAAACTGCTAATAGAGGAGTGGATGTGAGAATAGAGTTAGCCAAACTGCTAATAGAGCAGTGAATGTGAGAATAGAGTTAGCAGAACTGATAATAGAGCAGTGGATGTGAGATTAGGGTTATCAAAACTGCTAATAGAGCAGCGGATGTGAGAATAGAGTTAGCATAACTGCTAATAGAGCAGTGGATGATTATATAGAGTTAGAAAAACTGCTAATAGAGCAGTGGATGTGAGAATAGAGTTAGCCAAACTGCTAATAGAGCAGTGGATGTGAGAATAGAGTTAGCCAAACTGCTAATAGAGCAGTGGATGTGAGAATAGAGTTAGCAAAACTGCTAATAGAGCAGTGGATGTGAGAATAGAGTTAGCCAAACTGCTAATAGAGCAGTGGATGTGAGAATAGAGTTAGCAGAACTGATAATAGAGCAGTGGATGTGAGATTAGGGTTATCAAAACTGCTAATAGAGCAGTGGATGTGAGAATAGAGTTAGCAAAACTGCTAATAGAGCAGTGGATGTGAGATTAGGGTTAGCAAAACTGCTAATAGAGCAGTGGATGTGAGAATAGAGTTAGCAAAACTGCTAATAGAGAAGTGGATGTGAGAATAAAGTTAGCAAAACTGCTAATAGAGGAGTGAATGTGAGAATAGGGTTAGCAAAACTGCTAATAGAGCAGTGGATGTGAGATTAGGGTTAGCAAAACTGCTAATAGAGCAGTGGATGTGAGAATAGAGTTAGCAAAACTGCTAATAGAGAAGTGGATGTGAGAATAAAGATAGCAAAACTGCTAATAGAGGAGTGAATGTGAGAATAGGGCTAGCAAAACTGCTAATAGAGCAGCGGATGTGAGAATAGAGTTAGCATAACTGCTAATAGAGCAGTGGATGATTATATAGAGTTAGAAAAACTGCTAATAGAGCAGTGGATGTGAGAATAGAGTTAGCCAAACGGCTAATGGAGCAGTGGATGTGAAAATAGAGTTAGCCAAACTGCTAATAGAGCAGTGGATGTGAGAATAGAGTTAGCAAAACTTCTAATAGAGAAGTGGATGTGAGAATAGAGTTAGCAAAACTGCTAATAGAGAAGTGGATGTGAGAATAGAGTTAGCAAAACTGCTAATAGAGGAGTGGATGTGAGAATAGAGTTAGCAAAACTGCTAATAGAGAAGTGGATGTGAGAATAGAGTTAGCAAAACTGCTAATAGAGGAGTGGATGTGAGAATAGAGTTAGCAAAACTGCTAATAGAGAAGTGGATGTGAGAATAGAGTTAGCAAAACTGCTAATAGAGGAGTGGATGTGAGAATAGAGTTAGCAAAACTGCTAATAGAGAAGTGGATGTGAGAATAGAGTTAGCAAAACTGCTAATAGAGGAGTGGATGTGAGAATAGAGTTAGCAAAACTGCTAATAGAGAAGTGGATGTGAGAATAGAGTTAGCAAAACTGCTAATAGAGGAGTGGATGTGAGAATAGGGTTAGCAAAACTGCTAATAGAGGAGTGGATGTGAGAATAGAGTTAGCAAAACTGCTAATAGAGAAGTGGATGTGAGAATAGAGTTAGCAAAACTGCTAATAGAGGAGTGGATGTGAGAATAGAGTTAGCAAAACTGCTAATAGAGAAGTGGATGTGAGAATAGAGTTAGCAAAACTGCTAATAGAGGAGTGGATGTGAGAATAGAGTTAGCAAAACTGCTAATAGAGAAGTGGATGTGAGAATAGAGTTAGCAAAACTGCTAATAGAGGAGTGGATGTGAGAATAGAGTTAGCAAAACTGCTAATAGAGGGGGGGCGCTGGTGAGCAAGATATGGCGTAGGACGTACTTTCCTGAGCTCCTGCAAAATCCGTGTTAATTACATAAAAAATTAATATATAAACAGCATTAACTACGTTAATACCCGCCGAAAAACCGAAGAGAAAACTTTAGAATCACAAACAACTGGACAATCCGAGCATAATCGGCCCAAATGGCCAAAAAGCTGCAAAAGTATAGATACGGAAGCGATGCTAATGCTATAAGGCCTGCTAGGAGTATGAGACAGCGGACAACTGGCGAAGCTAACCCACCGACAACCACTGAGACGGTTGGCCCGAACATGAGTAACGAAGAAATGAAAGCAGATATCTTATCGTCACTGAGAGGCGA